AACCGAACTACTCGGTAGTGAAGCGGACGTAAAACCTTTCAATCACTCAATCAATGAAATATTTCACACTTTTCCCCCTATATTTAAAAAACTGGAGGTTATTTGTGTGTGTGTTGTATTACTATGTCCTCTAATATTATCCGGATCTTGTTCCGTTCGTCATTTTGGAATAGTCACTCTTACAACCAATCAAAAAACATCATATGATCACGTGATTGGTAAACCAATCAAAAACGTCCATTGCCCATTGTTCGCTCACGTGAGTTTTGCCGGCGGTAGTTACGAAACGACGACATTTGTAGCAACTGGCGGAATATTTTCTCAGCAAGATTTTATCGAAAAATGGATACGTTAAGCTCAAAGAAGGCTCTGTACCTTCATAGAATAAAAAGTAAGTACACTGTAGAGTATTGACAAACAGATTAATATAAATATATATGTTAGCATTTCTTTGTAAAACGATTTAGCTCTCCAGGTAATCTTCTAATGTTATGCCAAGAAAGTCTGGTGAAACTATAAAGAAGAAGAAATGATATCTTGCAAGGCCTGTTACACGTTTTTTTTTATTGATATGGAACACAGGGGTACGGTTCAATTTATCAGTTTATATCTGAGGTCTCCATGTTTACTATTATGTATAGTAAACAAGGAGACCTCAGATATGAATTCATAATTTGAACCGTACCCGTGTGTATCAAACAAATCTGACAGTTTAAGTCATAATAGCTATGATTAATATATCACCACAATACATTTTACAGAAAAAAACTTGAACATATTATTTAAACAGGTACTAAAACTAAGATCGACTTCGCTGACATCAGCACTTTTGACATTGCTCCAACTCCCCCTAAGGAGCCAAAACCCGAAGCAAGAAAATTGCACAGGCGTCACAGAATCTGTGCTCAGAAATTGAACACATACGAGGCAAAATATGAATCTACACAAGAATCTGCGACACATATATCCAGGACAGAACATGATAATGGAAGTGTTTCTAGCGATTTACTCGCAGCTAGAGATCCAGCTTTTCCCTGGTATTGTCCAACACCAAGAACAGGAAACACATCTGTCAACAAGGAGGAAGATGCTATTTATGAACATGACAATGGTAAGTTCACGTTTGTGATCATTTTCATATACATATCTTTGATATGGCATAATTGATATCAGCTCGGCACGTGCCATATGTCAATATCTGTTCTACTTCCAGTGATAGTTATAATTCTGATGTGTCGCTACGTAAAGATATTGGCACATTAGGCCTATATATGATATGTTTTAATACAGCCATACTCATAGACTAGTCGTCCCCACAATCACCCGAGGAAGTCGTATACTGTAAGCATAAAGGACCAGAGGACGGATGCTCTCGGGTTGTAAGGGGTTCTCGGGTTTACGGGGTCAGGGTCTGGATGTACAATGATCATACAATAGCCTCTTAATATTCGCATAAGTCACTAAGTCCTGAGTAATTGCAGATGCGCTTCAGCCTCATATTTCTGTCGCGTTTCCTAGGTTGTGCTTCCGTTAATATTGAGTGATGTTGAATGTTTTACGTGCTAGACTAATGGTTTCTTATATTTCGTTTTCAGTTGTGAAAACCACTTTCGAAGGTCAACGAAAAAACCCATCTCTCAATGAAGCAATCAATGCCAAGTATGTTGTTGTCAAGACAGAATTCCTTTATTAAATTATAGTAATAACTACAATATAGACATTGTTCAAACGAAAAAGGTGCTTTATAATAATAAAGTCGTTAGCAATTATGTGGTTCCACGTTTCTTACTGTTTTAAAAAATAAGTACATTGTTGCTATGGAAATTTAAATCTTTTGTGATTTTTTTTATCGTTTTAATATTTTCGATTGCTATGTGCCTATAAGACATTTCTACATTAAAGTTACAAATGACTGTTCTATCCACAGTCCTATAAGATACCCAGCTCCTGGACCCAGAGAACAGTTGGCACCAAGTCCTTTTCCCGTCAACAAGAACAAACTGGCCCCTGTTGTGGACCCCAGAAAGAATGTTGCATCCAAACCACCCCGGAAAGGGCCTCGTCCGGTCAAGGCTAAACATATGCCCGTTTACAAAGAAAGTAAGTAGTGATCTTCCTCTGAAAGAATTGCACAACTGTAACTTTTCATTTTAATAAAATTTTGAGATAGAAAATGGGATCGAATTTGATTCTCGTGTAGGACAAAACCACCGATTGTATGGTCATTGGTGATATATATCTTGTTTTTGTTTTATTTTAATTTTTGCCTTTTTTAACCAATTTTAGCTGTAAAGACCACTGCCATTGATCATCCGATTAGAACTTCTCTGCCTAAACCGGTCAACAACCCTAAGTATGTCGTTATCATCTAAACGGGGATCTTTAGTTTACTATAATTAAAATGATAGTCTGGTTCAGTTTAATGCTGAGAAAAGTATTGACATGCGTATTCAAGTTTATTTTGTAACTGTAGACAGACAGTCACTTTTATTAACGTTGTAATTGAGAGAATACCTAGAGTCTTCTGAACTTTTCTGGAAAAGTGTAATCTTTCAACTGCTCATCCATTCTTTGAGCGTTATAATGACTGCGAAATTCATCTCTAACTTTTACTCCGGTTGTTAAGTCAAAGACATTCATCGTGCCAATTTGATTCTTCTTTCAGCCCTATAAGATACCCAGCTCCTGGACCCAGAGAACAGTTGACACCAAGTCCTTTTCCCGTCAACAAGAACAAACTGGCCCCTTTGGTGGACCCTAGAAAAAATACTGCTGTACCCAAAACTCCCCGTAAAGGGCCACGTCCGGTCAAAGCCAAGCACATATCTGTCTTCCATGACAGTAAGTTTTGTTATACTCTTAAAGAATATGTAGCCATATTTGTAGTAGTTCTATATACACACAGGGACAAGGCATATATATATACTCTAAATACACAGGGACAAAGCATATATATATACCCTAAATACACA